CTGCACAATGGCAAAGAGCAGTCTCACCAAGGTTAGGTGTTCCACCAGCTCCTGTCAAAAATAGCATTTGGTCAAGTCCTTATATAAGATATGGTCTCCCACTAGGTTTGCTAGCTACAGCAGGAGCAGTAATGATGTTGAAAAGAAACAAAGCAAATGTTATAAATAATACTGAAGTAGCTGAATTTGAACAAACTCCGACACCATCGCCAAAACCAACGTCAAAACCAACGCCTTCACAAACAACACCTTCAATGACTCCTGAACCTATGAAAGTACAAACTCCTGTTCAAAAGTCAACTCCAAAACCGACTCCAACATTTAAACCAGAACCTACTCCTCAAATAAATCGTAAAACTCCTGCGTTTCCTTACTGAAAAAATAATGTTAGTTTTATTTTATTTGAACATTTTATTTAGAGAAATGACGACTAAAGTCACTGAAGCAATGAAACAAAATTTTTGGTAGAATACATTAAATCAGGAGCGGTTCCAGAAGGTTTTTACGTTCATACTATGAAGGATGGTAGAGTTCAGTTTAGAAAGATAAAGCAACCATTAGATAGAGAAGGTATTTTGAGAAAGATTAAACTTCATGAGGACAACATTGCTGAACTTAAGAAGAAGTTAGAAGAGTTGGAGAAAGGAAGAGAGTTATAAAGTAATGAATTCAAGGGTGAAAAAAGAGGTGAAAAAAGAGGTGAGATTTCACCACTTCACCTAAATTTATTTTTTCACCTCTGACAACGTTTATTTTTAAGTTTATTTTATTATTTAGCGAGAACGTTTATTTTTATATAAATGACAGAACAAAGCAACTCATACAAATCAAAACATATAACAAACATACATTTAAACATTTATTCTTCCTTCCTGAGCATAACATGTTCTTTCAAATACATCCGAGACCAGTTGACTTTCATTGACTGTTTATAAAGATAGAAATAGTTATATCATTAAACCATACGATGACGAAGGTAAGTTATGTAAATTGTACGTTAAGAAGTTAGAGAAAGTTTATGGCTTCAAGTATGACTACAATAGGGTTAACACTGATGATGAAGATATTGAGGAAAATTTATGAGAACATTAGTGAAGTTGTTAGTGAGAACGATAGTGAGAACGTTTATTTTTACATTAGTGAGTTCGTTAGTGAAGTGAAGTGGTTGGCGGCTTTGTAAATATTTAAGGTCAAGTTAGTGTTGTCGTTTGTGTTGTAAAATATACGTTAACGGTTTTGTAAAGTGTCAAATTCACAAGTATTGGGTAAAGTGGAACGCAATGCCACAGTACACAAGACTTGTATACTAACTTTGAAACACTTATGTCAAACGTTTTATATCTTAACTATACAAATGTTTTCAAAGAGGACATAGAAAAATATATTGAGGGTATAGAGTTTGTGAGATGTCATTGGACAGAGTTGTATGAAAAATATAAAGACAAGGAAAATGTTTTCTTTATAGTGGACCCGCCGTTCTATAACACATGGGATTTTCAATACCAAGTAGACTGGACTTTGAGAGACTCTTTAGAAACTTTAGACGTTTTACATAACCATCCATGCTTTTACTTTACATCCGATAAAAGTGGTTTGGAAACCGTTATGAGATGGTTAGAGGACATACATGACTATGAGTTTAGATATGACAAGATAGAATATGAGAGAGGTCCTATAAACCGGAGAAAGTGTCATAACAAAGAAATTTTATTGGTAAGTAAATGTGGTTTGAAATAGGACTACTTGTTTTAGGTTTTTTCCATTGTGTCATTTATTTATTTGACGTGGCAGAAAAGTACAGAGAATATGAAGATGAACCAATGCCTGCAAATGTCCAGTATATGTACTCGTAAGAGATATTTTTATCTAATATTAAATGGACGCACAGAACTTAGCGAATGCACAGCAACCTGGACAACCAAACCCAGAGAATATTCCAAATGAAGTTAGAATACAAACTGCAATGGCAAACTATGGTCAAGTGCCAACAGATGTACAAATGCAAACTGCCATGTCAAATGACGCTGCGTTAGGTTTGCCACCATGGTATGCAAATATGAGATGGAAAGATTTTATACAAACCCTGAAGTGGGATATAAACAACTTTATGCAGATGACGCGAACACAGGAGTTGACCCAGAATATGTTTTCTACCAGAGGAGAAACAGAATGTATGAGCTCCAGTTAAAAAATGCTATGGAACTCAGAAGGAAACGTAAGAGACTAGGCGGACATTAGATTTTACATATAGTAAAATGGGTTTCTTCAGTAAGATAGGAAACTTCTTTCGAAATGTTGGAAGAGGTATATGGAATGGAATAAAAACCGTAGGAAGAGGAATTTGGAACGGAGTCAAAAATATTGGTAAAAGAGTAGGTCAGTTTGTTGGTATTATACCTAAAGACCCTGAACCAGAAGAACAAGCTCCTGTTATACAACAGCCTGAACCTGCACCACAGTCAAGTTGGCAACCAAATCAACACCTCAACCGTATTAAAAAATTATATTTTTACCGTTCGATAGTAGTTGTATATGAGACTAAGTTCTAAGTAAAACGCATGGTATAATGGAATTATTCTCTTTCTTCCATCTGTTGTAAACCATACTTGAAAGTCTGAAATACTTCCACTTGGTGGTTCATATAGCTTTGTAGGTTTTTCGTAAAAGTCATTTGCCAAGCATAAAAAAGAGTTTTGTGCACCAGAAAATGAAGCATGAACTATAATAGCATCTGAGTCGAAAACATTTTCATATGTTCCATTAGGGTTTTCGACTTCATAAAAGTCCGGGTGTACTGGATATTCTGCAGGCTGATTTAACATCCTCAGAAATCTATACCATGCCAAGTTGTTATATTTTGTAGAAATATAAACGTTTTCTCCAAGGTCTTCTATTCTATTGATTTTAACAGTTGCATTTTTCCTGTCATATATAATATCGAGATGGTACTCTCCCTCGTCAATGCTATACTGGTTTGCATATTCGATATAGATATCGTTTATTTTTTCTTGAAAAGCTTGAAGAGTTGTTTCTAAGTTTACAAGCAAACTAACTTGTAAAAGTTTTCCCTGTTCAAATTTCTCATACATACGTTTTTCTTTGTTATAGTATCGAACTTCAAAACGACCGTAAATGGGAAACCATGTATGGCTTCTGAAATGAACTTCATTCTACGAAGCCAATAGCTTTTGTGACAGATGGGTCTCTTAACCATCTTAACGGGTAGTCAAAACGATAGCCTTCATGCTTTACGGTCTCTGTCTCAAACTTTTGACCGACATTAGTAAAAAGTTCATCTAATGGTTTAGTTGTAGCAACTCTTGAATTTTCTTTTTCTATGAAAGCATATTTTATCTAGAATAAAAATGTCAAATGAAAACAGCGTCTATGAGAGAAATACAACACAACCGACAACTCATTATACAAGCTCTAAATAAAACACAACAAACTTTTCAAACTATTCTAAGATATCTGAGTCATTGAAAGAAGGAAACTTAAAACTGACATTAAACCCAATGACAGATGAGTTTCTGTTTCAAGACAATAAGAACCATACTGTCTGTATAAATCCAACAAAAGGAACTTTAAACGAGAAACCTATATCTGAACTTCTTTTGAAAGCAGATGTTGACAACAAAGCTGACAAAACATATGTAGACGATGCAATAGCAAAAGAAGAAGAAGAGCTGACAAAGCTTATGCAACAAAAGAACATACTCATCCTGAACTAGCAGACAAAACATATGTTGACAATAAAATGTCAAGTGAAGTGACAAGAGCTGAAAACGAATATTCTAAAAAGACTCATACACATACCATTGCAAATATTACAAACTTACAAGAAACCTTAAACAGTAAAAGTGCCGTTGGACATACACATACCATTGCAAATATTACAAACTTACAAGAAACCTTAAACAGGAAAAGTGCCGTTGGACATACACATACCATTGCAAATATTACAAACTTACAAGAAACCTTAAACAGGAAAAGTGACGTTGGACATACACATACAAGTTTTACAACTGTTGCTATAGAAAATATTGAAGGAACGGTTGAAGAACCTGATGGGGATGTATTATATTGGAAACCTCCTAACTTTCCACAAGGTTTAACATCGGAAGAAAACATAACAACGACGAAATACATTAGATGTGAAATGTTTATGTCATGGAGGATGAAAATAACGTTAAATTCACTGCTCAAGATTTATATGAGAAGAAAGCAGACAAAACAGAGCTTCAAACATTAAAGACTGAAATACTTCAAACATTATATCCTATAGGCTCTATTTATACGTCAATGAACTCTACCAGACCAGAAACAGTTCTGGGTTTTGGTACGTGGACTCAAATAGTCGACAGGTTTTTGTATTGTGCAAACTCTTCAAAGGAAACAGGTGGAAGTAAAACGATTTCAGGTGAAAATTTACCTGCACACAGTCACTACATAGATTTAAGTACATCTCAAGCAGGTTTGCATAGTCATAGATTTTGGGATTGGTCAACAATGACAAAAGGTAAAGGATATGATGTTAAAGAGGACGTTAAGTTTGCTATAAATTGTTACTGGAATAACACTGAGGGAAGTGGATACCATACACATCGCGTTTCAGGGTATACGCAAACAACGGGACAAAGTAAAGACTACATGCCACCTTACATGACAGTTTACGCATGGTATAGAAATGCTTAGTCGTCATGTTCCACTTCTTTAGCATATTCGTCTGGAGTTGTCTTATATTTGTTAGGAACTGTCTTTGAAAGTATACCACCTTGAACTTTGACAAGTTTGAAACGAGGTCTGACAATAGTAGTTTTATCTTCTGCTTGCAGTCTGTACATTTTGCCATGTTTGCCTAAAACTTCATAATATTCTCTTGTATACTTTCTTCTATTTTTACGAACACGAATGTGAGTACCTGTCGGGTTCCCATTGTTGTCATAGTCAATAGTATTTTCATATGGGTCGCGTTTAGGTATTTCTATTTTTACTTTGTCACCTTTCTGAAGTTTGAAGCCCGGCATTCTTTCTTGTTTGTCTCTTTTGACTAAATTATTAAATATATAGTCTTTCTCTAAGTCAGGGTTGTTTTTCATTTCTTCGGGGGAGTGGTTTCCCAAACCTTTTTGTTTACGGTTATTGTAAATATTTTAAAACTTGTCTCATCTTTGCCATGGAGAAGTGTCTATACTTGTCGTCATATGACATTTCATTTGCTTCACCACCTTGTGGTTGGTTTAAGTCTCTTAACATTTTTATACAACCGTCAATGACACCAAGAGCAGAATGGTTTTGGTCGACAATGAAATATTGGTTTACATTTTTTGAACGCAGATAGTTTTTTACATCATCTGATTTGAAAGAACTTTCACAGTCAGATGTCAGTTTTGTTGGATGGTATTTGTCAACGAATATTGTCAAAGCAGTTTTCACATCTAAAATATTTTTGGACCATAATGGTATGGCTTCACAGTATCTTGTGTTTTGACCGACAAATATTAGCCAGTATGGAGGTCCATCTTCTCTATACCTCGGAATGTTTTCCAAGATATCCATAAACCAAGCATTTGGTGTTGAACTAAAGATTTTTACCATGAGTGCTTTCTTTGTTGCTTTAGAAACATAGGGGTCCTTGTTTGGATTCGTCATTTTTTAACCCATAAGAAATGGGTTTATTTGGCGCATTAGCAGGAGTTGCATCCAGATTTTTGCCCGCAGTGGGAACAATAGCCAGAGGTGTATTTGGAGTTGGAAGGAAGATTTTGAGTACATTAGGTATACTTAAAGAGAAAGCACAACCTATTATACAAACTGTACAGAAAGGTTGGGATGTAGCACGAGATGCAACAAATCTTATTCCAAATCCTGAAACAAGAGGAAAAGTTCAAGGATGGATGGACAATGTAGGAAGACAAGCAGGAAACTATTATAACAAAGCAAATGACTACTATAACCAAGCAGGACACTATATGGACCAAGGTGAAAGATTCTTTAACAGAGGATATAACCATGCACAACAATGGGTAAACAATAACCAACCTCAACCGCCTCAAACGTGGGAATGTAAAGTTTTTTACTGAGATGAAATGAACAATACAGCATTGAGACAAATGGGTTCAAGATGGATTTGTCGGCTTCCAGCAGTTACACAACGTGTTTGTCAAGTTCTTCCTATACCTCAGGAAGTTTTAGACCGACTTAAAAAACAACAACAACCAGTTGAAAACAAACCAAACTAAAATTTTTTACTGAGATGAAATGACCGAAGAAGTTGAAACGGTAGATTTGACACCACAAACAAAAAGTTCAGAACCATTGTCAAAACCTGTCAAAGAACTTACAGATGAAGAGAAAAATTCAATAATAGAAAGTGCCAGGTCTGGAAATACAAACTCTAACTACAAAGTCACTTTTCATAAAAATGGAACGGCAAGTATCTCAAAAAAGAAACAGACTCTCACAAATAAAATATTGAAGTCTGAAGGAGCTTTCGAGACAACAGATGGAAAAGTTTACTTCACTGACCAACAGTTCATTATAGAACATCTCATTGACTTAGAGTCGAAATATTCTAAACTTTACAACAAACACAAAAAGTTGAAAGGAAAACAAAAACAAATGGCATATGATATTTATGAAGATGTTGACGACACAACTGTTCCTGCAAGTGAAGTAAAGTCAGAGGAACCGAAAAGTGACGAAAAACAGATAGAAGAAGAGAAACCAAAAACTGAAGATAAACCAAAACCAAAGTTTAGTTTCCAAACTAAACCAAGTCAACCTTCATTAGCTGGTATGGGTTGGCGTCAAAGACTTATGGCAGCAGGCGGTTATGTTAAGTAAAGAGAAAAAAATATTTTTTTATTTTTATAAAAATGCCCCCATATAGAATGGATAGAAAGTCTGCTAGAATAAAAGCAGAGTTGCAAAGATATGGTTGGAGAGTTTCGAAGAATTTTAAATATAGGAAGGGAAGACCCATAAAAGTCTATGACAAATTGTCTGGTCTTCGCTACGAAATGGATTTGGAAACAGCACGTGCCAATTATCCAAACAGACTAGAGAGGTTAGAAGAAGAACGTCTTATGGACATGCCTTTCGATGTTAGTGAACCTCAAGTTGAAGGACACGACGGCTTTGCCAGATTCTACTGGAAACATGACGAACAATTGCATCCTTTGAGAAGGAAAAAAGGAAAAGGTGAAGACGCACATGCTCCCATGGAAAGAACAAGATATGCATATGAGAAGTACCGTGAAGTTAGAAGTCAAATTACTTCTGGTCGAACCTTTACAGTAAACTTTGACGAAGGAAAGAACAAAGAAGGCTTCATGGGTGTACTTGCTGCCATACAAGACGGAAATAAGAAAGGACACAATCTCAGATTGACCATAACAGATTTGGATGGTCACATTTACTATGCATATGGCAATGTCACAACAGCTGCAATGCTTCTTGACGCTTTCAAGACTACAAAGAGAGAACAAATGGTTGACTCCGACTCAGACATTTTGAATGCAATTGAAGGAATTGCAAGTGTCAAGTTCGAATGGTACCAACCTAACCCTCAAGCAGTCAGACAACATGTTTGTTAGATGAGAAATATGAAATGGCATACCATTTTAAAACAATATATTTTTACATATATTAAATGCTTCAGGTTGAAAAACAAAGAACAAAAGTAGCAGATACAAAACCGTTAGACTATATCTATACAAATGCTGGTAGGACTATTTCAGATGAAGAAATTTCATCCCGAGCATACAGGTTTGACTATCCAGTTCGTTGGCTTCAAAGTCCTTCAGATGCAAAGGCAATAGGATTTAGAAGAGTTTTGTTTTCAAATAGAACTAACGCGTTTATGTTCGCAGTATATTTTCATGGGCAGTATAAAGGTTCTGATGGTCTTATAGACAAATTTGACGAAATGAGGATCTTTACAGTTCGTTCAGACGAAAGTCTTGAGAAAACTCTAAATGACTTTCAAACTCAAATGAACAAATATTATTGGGAATTTCAAAAATACGACTCTTTACTAAATGGAACATACTATCTGAAACTAGAATATGACAAGATGAACTCCACCGTTTCATTTCAAAAGATTGAAATTAACCCTCCAAGAGATACAGAGTTTTTATTTTGGAAAGTAGACAAACGTTCTTGGGCACAATTTCTTCGGTTACTAAACCAGAACGAACCATTACCACCAGATGGTCCATTTAAATTTATACTTCCACCAGCAGATTTGACAGTTTATAGAAACGTGTTTGACCCTCAAAATGTTATGTGTCATGCAAGTTTCAGTTCAAGCAACAATAGTTTTCTATGTATCGGTAAGACTTTTATGACTTTGCTTCTAAATTCTACGAACCACCTAGTAACAGTTTCTCTGACTTTCAAGTTTGGTTCACAACAAATGGTGTGCAGCATATTATTCCATTGTACTATGACTTTTATCTCGAATTGTCTTTCATATACAACTACGGAAAAGTGCTGAAAAAGTGAGTTTATGTTAGCATGTTAGATCTCACCTCTTTTTTCACCTGTTTTTTCACCCTCTTGAATTTTCATGAAATTCCTTAAGATAGAAAAAAAGTGAGTTAAAATGAGATGTTTACTGAAGGTGCTACCATGTCACCGGGTAACCATGTGCTACCAGGTAATTTAACTTCTCTGAAAAAATGAGACAACATGACATTTTGACAACAGTCGGGAAAATGTCAAGACTTCTTCATCGTAACGAGTGTAAATGAACCAAAAATATTTTTTATGTTAGCATGTTAGATCTAACACGTTTTCTAACATTTTTTCTAACATCGTAGAAAACTCATGAAAACAATTTATTTTTGACCTAAAGACGCAAAGCGGTGGGACATAGCCCAAAAAATATATTTTAGGGTAGCATGTTAGATCTCACCTGTTTTTTCACCTCTTTTTTCACCTCTTTTTTCACCCGTTGAATTTTCATGAATTTCCTTAAGATAGAAAAAATAAAGTTAGTTTTTTAAAAAAAATATTTTTTATTTTTATTGTAAGAACAGTAATGTCAGTCGAAGCAAAAACGTTCACGAACAAATCTAATGGCGAAACATTCACAAAAGGCACTTATAACGGTATTGAAGTCTTACGTAGAGACAAGGATGGTTATATAAATGCAACAAATATGTGTCAGCAGTTTAGGAAAGACTTTAGAAAGTTGTTGGAAAATAAGTCCTGGGAAGAGTATTATAAGGCATTTTGTGAAGAATATAGCAACCGGAAGAATTCTGGCGGTTGGTTTTTATACAAAATTCATGCAGGAATTTCTGATGAAATCAAACAGGTTAGAGGAACGTATGTAGACCCAAGACTTCTAAACTATATAGCAATATGGGCTTCTCCAAAATATTGCATAGCAGTTGGAAAAATTATGGACTCCATAGACAAGAAAGTTCATGAGAAATTAGATGAAGAAGAACTTGAAGATACAGTAGAGAATGCTAAACCTTTGTTCGAACAAGAAGTTAGAAAAATGTGCGAAAAACAATTTGAACATGAACGTGAGATATGTTATGGTTATAGAGATTCTCCATACGAACTAGACCAATGGGAACAAGAAGATTTAAAGAGAGAATTTAGAGAATATGAACTCGCTAAGATAGCATTAGAAGCTGCAGAAAAGAAGTTAAAAGTTTGGGGTCGTTTTGTACCAAAATATTGTGGTAAATGAACCATTTATTTTTATTGAATTCGGCAAAAATATAATTTAGGGTAGAAGGTTAGATCTAACCTGTTTTCTAACCTCATTTCTACCCTCTTGAATTTGTCAAGACTTCTTCGTAAATGTTTTGTCATGACTTCTTCGTAAATGTTTTGTCAAGACTTCTTCGTAAATGTTTTGTCAAGACTTCTTCATCGTAATGAGCGTAAAGGACCCAAAAATATAATTTAGGGTAAGGTTAGATCTAACCTGTTTTCTAACCTCATTTCTACCCTCTTGAATTTTCATGAATTTTCCCGAAATAAAAAATAAAGTTAGTTATTTTTTTATTTTTTTTATTTTGTATAAAAGAACAGAAATGTCAGTCGAAGCAACAACAATTCAAACAACAGCACCAAACTCGTTAGTCATGAATCCAACATCTATGTTAGTAGAGATGAAAAAGCTTCATTCCTTCTTCATATACTTTTGAGACAGAAATCCAGAAGATAAAGCAGGAACTTTTAACAAGTACTTTGGACTGTTGTGCGAAAGATGAAACAAATGAACAGTATCTTTATGAAATGCAGGACCTCATCGACCATTTGCCCAAATTGCCTGAAATCCAACAACAAAAGCTCACTATTCCTGAATTCGACGAAATTGAAGTCAAAGCAACTGACTCAGTAGAAATAAAGAAGTTCATACGAAAGGTAAACTATGAGTTTCTAGGATTTCATTGCAACCATAAGGTTATGGACAAAGATTGCGACATGGTATATAAGAACATCTCTGACATATATAAATCTGAAGAATTTAAGACCTACGACAACTTTGTTCGTTAGTTGCAAAATGTGTATGGCAGATAAGAGATAAAGATAAAAGATGTAAAATATGGAACAAACAAATAAAACCAGCAGCTTTTGAGTTAAAGAAAACCATTGACGCTTTAGTTGTTCTAGCAGGTAAGGTTTCAGAATATAACGCAAAATGAACCCGCAATGTTCTAAATGTAAAGCAGCAATGAGGAGATATAACTACTCCGTCAAAGAGATAGAAAGAATGAAAACGACTATGCAGACTTAAAGAAAGAAGCAGAAAAGCCAGCAGAAGATAAAATGGACATGTTAGAATTTCTGACAAAAACTATCCAACTGCTGACGATTTCCTTCTATCTGACGTCAAGAAGAAATATAAAGAGACTTTCGGCATAGTTAAAACATTCGATATCCTCAGCGAAGAAATAGAAGCTACAAAACTGTTTAGAGTCTCACGAATTCATAACGTTTACCATGTAAAACGCTTATAAAAATAACTGGGTAGAAAAGAGGTTAGAAAACAGGTTAGATCTAACCATCTACCCTAAAATATATTTTGCTGAAAAATGACCAAAAATTCTGAGTAAAATAATTTTTAGGGCTTGTGTCAAACCGTTGAGTTTTCACAAAATTTAAAAAATAACGTTTACCATGTGAAACGCTTATAAAATAACTGGGGTAGAAAAGAGGTTAGAAAAAAGGTTAGATCTAACCTTCTACCCTAAAATATATTTTTGTCTGATTTACGCTCATTACGAAGAAGTTTTGACAAAACATATACGTTCATGTTTGACAAAACATTTACGAAGAAGTCTTGACAAAACATATACGTTCATGTTTGACAAAACATTTACGAAGAAGTCTTGACAAAACATATACGAAGAAGTCTTGACAAAACATTTACGAAGAAATCATGAAAATTCATGAGGTGAGAAAAGAGGTTAGAAAACAGGTTAGATCTAACCATCTACCCTAAAATATATTTTTGCTGAAAAAAATGACCAAATTTCATGAATTTCCTCATATGTTTGCGACCCGAGGAAAACCGAGGAACGAGATTCCGTACGAAAATCGTGAAAAAATGACCAAATTTCATGATATAACTGTATTTTTTTTACGAAGAGAACTTTGACACTTCGTCAAAAAAATCCCTGAAATCGTAAAAAAATGACCAAATTTCATGATATAACTGTTATTTTTTTACGAAGAGAACTTTGACACTTCGTCAAAAAAATCCCTGAAATCGTGAAAAAATGACCAAATTTCATTATATAACTGTTATTTTTTTACGAAGAGAACTTTGACACTTCGTCAAAAAAATCCCTGAAATCATATCTTTTATACAAGATAGAAAAAATAAAGTTAGTTTTTTATAAAATATTTTTTTTATTTTGTATGTAAAGACAGAAAATGACAAACATTGAGTTTGAAACAGTTAAAAAGATAGACAATGACACCAAAATGGTTAGAATAGGTGACTTAAACGTAAGATACTCAAAGAAATACAACAAATATTCTTTGTCAGACATTATATCTCCATCTGGAAAGAAAACATCCCATTGGGTTGGAATTGCTTCAACTCAGAAAATTTTGACAAGAAATCCTGAGCTTATGATATCGGTAAGATTCTATGGAACTACAGCATATCTTATAGACAAAAGTCTTATACCAATAGTTTTGTTATGGTTAGACCCAGTTGTTGGATATAACTTCATAACATATGGTTCATTCGATACTGAACGTTGCAGTGAGGGCTTACTTTACATCGTTCAGAAACCGAAGGACTTCAATACAAAGAGATATAAGATAGGAAGAACATATAATATAACTCAAAGATATGACAGTACAGTCAATAGAGTCAAGGTTGTGTTCGTTAACGATATGAGAGCTGCAGAAACAGAACTGCTTGAAAAGTTTGAGAAAATGTATGGTGCTCCCACGAAAGGTAAAGAAACGTTTGAAGTAGATGAGATAGGTAAAGCTATAAAATTATTTGACGAAGTTGCTGAAAAATACATGTAAAGCGTTTATTTTTGGTCTTTTGTGAAAGTCAGGAAATAACGCTAATTTTTTATAAAATATTTTTTTTATTTTGTAT